TTGCACAGATGGTCAAATATAATTTGGATAGGGAGTATTGGGAGCTTCCCTGGGCAAAAATACCACAAATTATGCTGTCTTACCTGAAGTTAAGTAATTTTCATGAATAAATGCTTCTGGTTTGTTGTATGTCTTTAGGCAAATTCCAATTTGCTGAAATGGTTGTTTCTGAGAGTTTTGTCCAGTTTTATTATTGCATTTGAAGAAGCATATATGCTAATTTCCTCAAGTTTAAAAATTTTTGGCAGTTACCACAGCTTATCTATACAATTTGCTGTAAAATAATGTGTCTGATAACACATAATTACATATTTAAGTTTAATAAATGAGATAATTTTTGCTTAACCAAAATAAATAAGATAGTCCGTTTGCAAAGACAACTATGATTTCCAAAGACTTTGCCACCTAAACAAGTTGAAAACCCATTGTTGTTAGTATGAAGAGATGATTCAAGTTTGTATTCTTCTTTGAGCATAGTGAAAACAGCATTTAACTGATATCAATCTGGTGACAATATAATGAATGAATTTGCTAAAGCCTGGGAATGAATACATTTGGAATATCATTACAATCATAGCAGTTCATGTATGAGATGATTAAGATCTTAGAGAATTATGGAAATTAAAATAGACCATAGATGTTGTGTAGGATTAGTTGTCATGATGTGATGATGAACTGGGTATGTATGTGTTTGCAGAGAGGTCCAAAGTATCTGAGTCTGGCTGGCTTGGAGAAAATATAGTATCTTCAAATGAAATAGGTTATTTCGGTGAACTGTCATGCCAAGATACTCTTAGTGTATTGTTTTGAACAGTTTGTTGGTATCCAAGTGGAAAAGCACATGCCCAAAAATAGATGACTGGATCAAGAAAATGTGGTACATATATACCATGGAATATTACTCAGCATTCAAAATAGATAAACACATGCAATTTGCAGCAACATGGATGGCGCTGGAAGGGATCATGCTCAGCTAAATAAGCCAGAAAGAAAAAGAAAAATACTGGATGGTCTCACTCATAGCAGGAATCTAGAAAACTTAAATAAGGGACCAGGAAAATGAATAACTATAAGAAAGTGAAAATCAAAATCAACAAAAAACTGTGAACCAGAGACACTTTTTGGGGGGTGGGGGGCGGGAGGGGACGGATTGGGGTCAGAATGGGGAGGTTGCAATTGTATGGGGAATATAAAAATAAAATTTATTATTTAAAAAAAAGGGAAAAAATAAAATAAAATACTATTGATGGTGAGTTTTTTAAACTCTAGAAAAAATGATTATCAAAGTAATTTATGTAAAAATACCAAATAAATCATGTGTGTGATTTTTCTAAGCAAAAAAAAAAAAAAAAGAATTGGTTGTGAGATTGGGATTGAAAAGAGAAAGATTTGACAAAGGAGATGGGAACCTTTACAGTTGGGTAATCACTGAACCTATCTGAATGGGCATAACCTAAGGGGAAGAAACAAAAATGAGCTTATTTTATTCATTTAATAAACTGTTTTTATTCGTTTAATCAACAGGTAACAAATATTAAAGAACACCCTGGAAGTTAACAAGTAATGTTACTACCTATCATAAAGCACATTTTAGAGTATTTCTTTCAGTGTGCATTGGTTGATTACTTCCTGGTTTCTGAACTTTAAGTGATCTTTTACAGTATTATATGAGCAACTTTTAAATGAAATATGTAAGTGAATGTACCTACCATGTGTAAAGCATAGATATTGAATTTTTTTTTTCTTCTTCTCAAAGGGCGCATTGTTCTTGGTAACTTTTGGAAAGGGTACGTGTGTGGCTCTTTCTGTTGCCTACTTAGTACTAGTCTTGCCTGTTTCATTTAAATACTTGTTCTGCTTTGTTACTTATTTCTTCTCCACTTGTTAGTTATTGTGCTACTAGTGTAGCATTCATCATTATCACCAATTGAGTGTTCAGGATCACTTGTTCCAACAGACTTGTACACAATAATTCTGTCATTGGGTTTTCCCTTTGTGCAGAAATGTTCTGGAATGAATGGCATTCAAACATAGCCCTATGCAACCCATTTTTTTTTTCAGAAACTAAAGAGAATGAGTGCAAAACACTCTTTAAGAGAAGCTGGATGGGCAAAAATGCTTGCCCTAATATATGTATGTTTTTTACTATTTTCTCCTTTTTACTTCTACTTGCTAACATTTTTCCAGAATAAGAATACAAATTAATAAGGCTTTAGCTCCAAAGTCATGTTCAGCTATATTGTGCTATTTGTCCCCTCACTGGGATTGACAGAGATGAGTGTGCAGAAGGATAACAGGAAAAAATATTTTTATTATAGGCTGATTTGTGTCTTTAGATTTTAAGTCTTAGATTTCCATTCTCATCACATGGAGAACAGTTTTTTACTGTACATTTCAATTATATGACTTAGAACACATAGTGCTGTTTTTTACCCCCACTACCATCTCTTATATCCCCTTGATCCTTTCTCTCTTCCCACTCATGCTTAACCTCAGAAACTTCACTTCATGTATTAATATCTGCTAACTGTTTTTCTTAGTCCAGAGTAATATTTTCCCCATACCTATCATGCCTTGAATTCATAGGGAATGGGTGCCAGCAGCTCAGGCTCCTTTCCATTGGTGCTCACAAAGTGTGCTTCTCCAGGTGGAACAGACAGGTGTTTCAACTGAACCCAAGTATCTTTCTCTTTATCTTCCTTTTTTCCCTGACCATTTTCTTTCACGTGTTTCAGGAAGATTTCTTAGTTCTTAGAGTGCTTAATAAGCTCAATATAAACATTAATTCTCTTGGCAAGAATCTTGCCCTTGTTTGTTTACAACAATGACTGTATTCTGGGTAACCTTATAGACACTTCCAGTTTTGCCATGGTAACATTTGTGGGGCATTCCTTTTTGAACAGTGCCCATTCCCTTGCTGTCTACAATATCACCTTTCTTGTTGATCTGCATTGCATGTGGCCAAAGGAACAACTCCATGTTTTCTAAAAGCCTAGAGAACACAGCTCATGCCTCTACTCTATCCCTTCGTATTTGTCATTCTGGCCAACTTCCTGGAAGATGACAGTTCTGGCTGAAAATGCTATTAGTTTTTATTACTATTTTACTTTGTCAAATCTTCTACTATGTAAATTTCCAATATTTCTCTTTGTCATCTGACTTTATTACACATAATCTCCTCAAACTCCTTACATTTTTTTTCTGAAAATAGCAGCATTTTGTCTTTTCTTACAAATGAATAGTACTCCAATAGTGTAGATGATATCACATCTTCTTGAGGGGAGAACAGTTTTTTCCTTCTTTTTCCTTTTGTATGTATATGAAAAGATGAATGTTAGCTGAATCTATTGTGATAATCATTTCATAATATATGTAAATCAAACCATCATATTGTACACCTTAAACTTATTCAGTGACATGTCGGTTATTTCTCAATAAAACTAGAAGGGAAATGGAAAGTAAGAATTCCAGAAACACTGGTATGCCATTTTGGTACATAATGATTGCCCCAAATTAGTAAACATATGAATATGTTCCAATTAATTTTCATTAAAAACTAAAGCAATTTTCACTAATAAATTTCCATTTAATATTTAATCTTCTTGGAGCTAACTTTCTTTAGTACAAGGTTCATAATCACAGACCATGTATAAGAAATTACTGAGATTATCATGTTCCTTTTTATTAAGTAACTTGCTCATACATATCCCAGATTATTGCATGAGTTGATATGGTACAATGAAAAGCACACTAATGTAACCATTAGGATTCCTGGGTTCTAGCCCTAATGTATAACATATAATAGCTTATTGCTATTTACCTTATGGTTTCTAGTCTTCTCTATGGATCCTAGTGTCTCTTCTATAAAGTAGGGTGATACCTATAACATAGGCCTGTTATAAATTTCAAAGAAGATAAAGAGAAGTAGTTTGAAAGTGTTAATATGGAAGGTTCTCACATTATCTTTTATATTTTATTTAATTTTTAAAAGTTAAAAATATGCCATAACAAATGTGTGATAAATTTTCATATTAAATTTCTGGAAAGGTTACTGTGCTTAAATTTTACAACTCTATTTCCTTTAATTCATTTTACACCTGTTCTGTAATTATTGGCTTGAAATCAGAAGAATTATAATTCTATGAATCTTTTCTATGAGAATAATTTGGTAAGCATGCATAATAGTACTAAATAATTTAAAGACTTAGTATCAGATTCAGATTAGAAAACTTTTCATTGATGGAAATATCTATAATTTATTTCTTTCATCTATTTGGATATCTTCAGCTCCAGAACACGTGAGTTAAAAAATTAAATGAGATTCTAGTTTTCTGAAGCTTGTTGAAGGTCAGTATGTTATATTGCTAGCAACTAGTTGTAAGAACAGTTCTGCTAGCAACTGGTTGTAAGAACACAAGCATGTCACTTTAGTTTTTCTGGGCCTCATTTCCTTATTATAAGAAGGTGATTTGGATTAGACTTCTAAGGTTCTTTCTACTTTTAACATTCTGTGATTTATTTTTAATTATAAGTGGAAACTGATGAAAAGATAAGGGTTGATTCTAATTTTGTTATAAATACTATTTATTATACTTGATTTATATCTAGCATGACCATATATTTTGCCATCCAAACAAGAAGAAACTTTTTAAAGTGAAAGGAATACTGTTAGTAATGACTCAAGAAACTTTTTAAAGTGAAAGGGGTACTGTTAGTAATGACTCAGGACTGTTCTAGATAGACTAGAATGTCTGGTTACCTTATCTGTACTCCCACACATTTTTCTGTTAACAATAAATTCAGTAAACACAAACTGGACACAGACAACTGGAACAAAGTTTATGAAGTAAGTTGCTTATACCTGATTCTCTTTTTTTGTGAGAACTAAAACCATAAAATTTGTATTGTTTTTTTGTTAACATGAATTCTGTATTGTTTGCTGAAGAAGAATATCTATCAGTTTTAATTCCTCTTGATAGATTTTCTGTTTTTTATTATAGATCCACTATGTGTAGAGAATAATGCAACATCATGTCAGCAATTCCCAGCTAGTAAAAAAGGGATGTTCACAGATGACTTACACAAGCTGGTGGATGACTGGACAAAGGAAACAGTAGGAAATTCTCTTATTAAGCCAAGTTTAAACCAACTTAAACAGAGTCAACACAAACTGGACACAGACAACTGGAACAAAGTTTATGAAGTAAGTTGCTTATACCTGATTCTCTTTTTTTATGAGAACTAAAACCATAAAATTTGATTCCTTTAGGCCATGGGCACAGTCAGTATGAGAGAGTGGTGTGATTTGACAACATAAAGGCCTTTATTCTTGTCTAGATCATTATTTCTTTGAGAAAATTATCTTTTAGACCAGGGGTCATCAAACTTTCTGAGTAAGTAAATGAGTAAATATTTTCAAGCCATAATGTTGCAGCTGCTCACTTCTGTCATTCTAGTATACAGAAGCAGCCACAGATAATATGTAAATGAATGGGCATGGCTTTGTTCCATAAAACTCAATTCATAAAAAAAGAGGTGGTTGGCTAACCTTTGTTTTAGATTATTTATTGTACTTGAGAAAAAAAACATCAAACATCAAAACAGAAAGCATCTGGAGTAAGAGTCAGTTCAATTCTATAGTTGCAAGAAGAGTTTGGGTTTTGAGGAACAGCTATCTAATGTTGTATATCAATATTCTTAGAACCAATAAAATGTCTTATTTGCCCACTATGAAAAAGGATTTCAGAGCTCTTTAAGCTAGACAATTATAAAAGGCATCTTAACTTTATAATGAGATGTTTAGTTAATTGCATATGGCCTTAGTCTGGTATACATGCCATTCAAATGTAGAAAGATGTCCATAGTGCATTCTGAAGTGGGAAGAAGGCAGACTTATAGAATATATATGTGTGTGGAATAAAAAGAATATATATGTATGTGTGTGTATACACATCTATGTATAGTATTTTTCTAGCATTACATACATTATATATATACACATATACATAGAAATAGGAAAAGCCATTAACAATTTGCTAAATGGTAGAATTTGGACCTTATTTTATTTGTACTTTTCTGTCTTTGAACTTTTTAAGTATTTCTTTTCAAAATGAGTAAGTCTATTAAAATGTGAATCAAGACTTAGAATCTAAACTCTTACATTTGACAAAGATATCTCTGTGTGTGTGTTGTTCGTATACATGCTTGTGTGTATATATATTGTTATTGCATATAGTTTGGTGAACAAAGTTTGAAAATGCATTTATTGTTAATGTTGAATAAAAATTTTCAATAGCTCTAGATTCCCCAAACTAGTAAGCAGTGTATCTGCTTGTGGGGGGATGGGGCGGGGTATCTATCTCTTTATCTTACTCCTGGCACAGATTTATGCATAGATTTATCACCATTGTAAAAAATTGTAAGCCTTTACAGGCAGATTTCAAGGCTTAAGTGTATGTGTGCTGCCAGTGAGAAATCCTCTGAGTACTGTGTAAATGGAGGCTTTTGTTGATTTATAGGAGTGTTGCTTATTGCAGTATAGTGGGAAATGTTTAACGGAAAAGTCAAAAATGGAATTTGAATGAAACTGGTGAAGGGTGTCCAGTGTCAGCTCAGTTATTTGCTAGTTTGTGCCTATTTGTACCTCAGTTTTCTTGACTTTAAAATAGGGATAATACTTTGCCCTGCAAGATTGTCGTGAGAATTAAATAACACCTATACAATATCTAGTACATAGTAGAGAGACTATATATCATGATTATTTTTATGTTCAGTTGATGATATCTTTGTGTGGAGAGTATCTCACTACCTAATGTTCTTGCATGTTACTGATCTCTAGCCTTACTTAGAAAATTTTGTCACAATTATGTGCCAGGTTCTTTACGGTATGCAAAGCCCCATGTCTAGGCACTGGGTTTGATGAACAAAAACAAGTATGTTCCCTATTCTCATGGAATTTATACTCTGGTGGGGCAGTTAGACACAGACTTTTATAGATATAAAATTGCAACTGTGATAAAGACTTCACAGGAGTGATATGAGATACCATGCAGTAAGGGAAATTTAACCTAGTAAAGGAAAGTCAAGGAAAGCTTCTCTGAGGTGATGGCTGAGTAGAGACCTGCAGGGTGGGTTGATGTTAACTAGGTTAAAAGAAGGAGAGACTATGATTCCAAGCAGAAAGGACAGTATATTCAAAGGCCTTGTCTGAGGAAAGGGAGCATGGAGGAACTGAAAGTAGGCCAGTATGGTTGAAGTGAAGAGAGCAGAAACATTTTGGTGCACAGGGAATCTACGGAGGTGTAGTAGGTAGGGTCTTAAAAGTGGTGATACTAGGTATTTGACTTCATTTTAAGAAAAATGGATAGCCATTGAATCCTCAGGGTTGACATGATCAAATTTGCTTTTTGAAATCTGCTTTTTGAAGCAATAAGAAAGGATTATTGGGAATAAGGGTAGATGTTGATAGGCACCAGAGTAGTCCAAATAAAGGGGAGTTGAGATGAACAAAGGTGAAAAACTCCCCAAAGTGTTTAGCGATAAAATGGATAAGACATATGGCAGGAGTTATCAAGGTTAGGTTTCTAGCTGGTATAACAGGCACCAATTTCAGTGTATGACTCACTGACATGGGGGATGTAAGCAGATAGTGTGTTTTGGTAGAAGAAATATCCTATGTTTGATTTTGGTCATTGGAATATGAGATACCTTTTAAATCTCCGAGAAAAGAATAACAAGCCATTACCAACTCAGTATTTTAAAAAAAAAATCATACTGTTATTGTTTGTAAAATATGTTCATCATAGAATTTACTCAGTGCAGAAAAGTACAAATTTTAAAATACTACCTTCAAGTAGATAGACATAATTTCAGGTATCTTTTTATTTCTACATATGGATGCATGGATATGACTAGAAAAATGTAAGCATACTAAATAATTATTAAATTTAGTTTTACCTTAACAGAACAAAAACACTGCTATGAAGAGATTGTTGAACTTTAAATAAATGTGTTTTGTTTGACCTCAAGATATTTTCATTCATTCTTGAGTCAAGCAAAAAACATTTACCCTAACTTTAGTTTGAAACATTAGTTGAAAGTTTAATTGAAAGGGTTTTAGCTCGACCATTCAATTTAGAAGAATTTGGTACTGATACCAAGCTCTCCTTTCAGTGAGAATTATTTACTTCCATTAGACTTACTATTCCCATGTGCCTAAAATTTAGTAATCCCTATACATATGCATATTCAAAATATCATACACTAAGAAGAATCAGACAATAATGTATTTTCTCAGCAGTGCCAAAAACATAATTGCCTTGAGTTTAAATTTCCAATAATATAATAGATATGTCAGATTTTAAAATTGCGATTATAAAGGGATTAGGAAGGTGACATTTATTGAGCACCTACTATACACCAGTCTCTTTCCCCATGCCACACTAAATCATGCTTGTCTTTCTCCAAAGAATTATGCAGTAAAATGTGAACGGCGATTTAGCATGGACCTTGTAGTTAGCAGGAACTGTGTTCTAATCCTTGCTCATTGTGAACTTTCTTAGTGGTATTGAGTAATACCAATTTTGAGTGTCTATTTGCACATCTGAAAATATAAAGCTTGCAAGGGCAGTTATGAAGATGAAATGAAATAAGGTATGTAACTATGCTTAGTACACAGAAAGGTGAATACTGTGGTAGCTACTTATAGTAATAATAGGAGTAGTAAGCCAAACAGAATAGGAAGGAATATAGATGGGTAAAAACATCTACAAATAAACTGATCTTTTGTTTTTATTTTTTTATTAGAATACTCCATCTACTATGGGCTACACATCAACATGGATTTCTTCTCTGTCGCAAATCCGTGGAGCTGTCCCAACCTCTTTGCCACAAGGACTCCCACTCCCTTCGTTTCCTGGGCCATTATCATCATATGGAATGCCCCATGTTTGTCAATATACTGCTGTGGGGGGACCAGGATATCCACTACAGTGGGTAGGGATTTCAGGAACACCACAACAGTCTGTAGCAATTCCTGCCCAATCTGGGGGAGTGTTACAGCCAGGGATGAATTTGCAGACGTTTCCAACTTCACCAGTGCAGAATCCATCTACAATCCCTCCTGGTCCCAAATGAATCAGGGTAGATGATGAACAGGGAGACTTTTTCAGAATTACTTTCAGGACACCTAAGATATTAAACTTTCCTCTTGGGTTCTGCAATGTTTCCCCCCATTTATGTTTACTTCCCACTGTATTTTTGTTGTTGTTGTTCCAATGTGGTATTTAATATAGCTCATCACTCTGTAGATCTGTGCAGATTGTATATAGAATACTGCACACTGAATGTTTTTTCACTTCAACTCCTATCCTCTTTGATACTTGATTTTTTAAAAATACCATTCAGAATGCTTTAATAAGCTCAACTTGAGTATTACCATTTCCAGGACATTCCCCATGCATTGCTCTGAAGCCCCCGTTTTTTACTGCTGCTATTTGCAGCTGTGTGATACTTTTCTTTAAAATGTATGAAAACAATTTAAATTGATAGTCCCCAAATGTGGATGAAGTGAGACCTTTCAATAGCTGGAGTCTTATGGGAGTTTTCACATGTTTACCTTAGGTTTATCTTTCACAGAAGGCAGGGTAACTTGCTGCAGAAAATGTTTTGGTGTATGAAATTAGAATAACTTTGTCAACTAATATAGAACATGAACCCATTTTAATGTGATTTTCTTCCCGTCATCACAGCAGTAGAAGGAATGAAGTCTTGTATTAGGTGAGACGGAGAGAAAGGAGAAAACAGAACTGTAACAGTTCCTTGATACTGCAGATACTGTAGCTGCCTTATGATTTGATAGTAATTCAAAGCAGCTAACTCCTTGTTTCTCATGTGCACACTACATTGTTTTTGAGCATTGAGAAGCATTGGTTTGGCATGCATTCTTTTGTAAGGGAAATATGCAGCTGATATGAATCTCATTTGGGGGGAATCTTTGTATTCTTAAAAGAGATTCAAGTTATGCCTCTAACAGTCCGTTCTTATTAAGTGAAATTTACTTGATACAATAGGTTTTATAGGTTTTGAGACTTAAACATGAAATGCTGGCTTTACAGGGTTCTAAGAAATGTGGGGTATACACTATCCTTCAGTGAGATACTAGGCCCTCGAAGGATACTATATTACGTTACACTTAGCTTTTTTTTGATTACCATTTTTTAGTTGTTACAACTTCTTGTTAGTATCTATAGCAGCTTAGATAATTTTAGATCTTAGATGGTTTTGGCAGCCTCTTTAGATTCTGAGAGAGATCACTGTCAAGTTGCACTTTACTGGGTTTTATCCAGTTTCAGGAAGAGGGGAGGCAATGTCAAACTATACACTTTTGGTTTTCAAGAAGGTTAACTGTAATAATCTTAAAAAGTTGGTTATAGAGTTACCTAATGCTCATTCCGTTAAACCCAACAGAATTCTTCAGTGGTATTTATCATACCATGTACACATGTTTAAAATATTTGCTTTCTACTCTGAAGATTTAAAAATACATATTTACCTAATAACAAGTTCTATTTACTGGTAAATATCAGCCAACATTTCTGTATAACAGATTTTCTTCCATATTCCTCTAAAAATGTTATTCCATAAGCTTGCCAGATAATGAGGAAAACTTAATGGGTGTACTTTTTTTTTTTTTTTTTCACAGTCTACTTTGTGATATTCAATACCCTTTTTCAAAAACGTGTCTTATATGGCTTACCTAATGATCACACTCACCATCATAAAGATTCTATTGGTATCATTTGGGGCACCTAGGGCAGCATTTTGAGAATTGCTGTTGATGAGGTCCACATTTTTTTGTTTTTTTGTTTTCATAAAATATACTGTGGTTTAGATAAGTTTTTCTAAATCTTATATAGAGATTCTTCAAATTTCTTCTAAAGTATTGATTTGCACGTTGAAGTGACTTGAGGCATCAGTATAATGCAGATGCTTGCAATGCAATGGTTTCCATGTGTACAAAAAACAATGCACCTAAAATCCATAATTCTTTAAAACTGCTCATGTTTCATTTTAAGAGTTGGCTTTGTATAAATTACATTGAAACATACAACCTATAAAGTAAAAGTGCTGCAGGTTTTAAAACTCCTTCTCCTTTAGTCACAATCTTTTTAAACAGTGTACCCTAGGATGAAAAGAGCTCCATGGATGACATGCATAATTATGCTTAATAAATAAAATGGCTGTTCTACTCTATATGTCCCGCATTTTGCCACCACCTCTGTTTTATGTATAATTCATCATTTGCTTTCCTGCAGACTTTTGCAGTGCCTTGTAATATTTAGAATCTTTTCAGATTTTTTGCTGGAAAGAAAAGTAGTCTTCTAAAGTTTGAAGATGGTGAATACTGTATTGCTGTCTCCATGCTGGCTGTAGTAGTTGGGTTAACATATATGTTATATATACATTGTGTATATGTAACATGTGTAAGTTTTGAAAAGAAATGAAATGAAAGAAAGTGTGTTTGTGCAGAAATGAAAAGAAAAGTGTGTTTGTGCAGAAATGAAGAATAGTGTTATTCACATCTCTGTGGTATTTTATTTATTTTTCCCCATTACTTAAATGTTTGATTCAGGTTATAATCATTTAGACTATAAATATTGGCTAGCTTTCTATCTTGGGGTTTTGCATTATTTTACAATTTTGCTAAATCATATAATAGTACTGTTTTCATCCTTGCTGAGAAGTAATTAACTCTTGAGGTAAAGCTCAAAAATTCCCATTTTAACAAAGACCCTACTATATAACAAGGGCTTTCTACACATTTCCAAAACCACACAAACCTGTCCTTTTTCATTTCCTCCTTGTAGAAGAGAAAATGGTTATACTAAACATCTGCTTGTAAAATTTATTTTGGGTATAGTCTCTGTGTCCAACCAATATGTTTACTTCTCAAAGTGCAAGTCTGATGAATATAGTACTGTATCTCTATATGTGGCAATGTGAGCATTTCATCATGAAGTACCTGCTGCTGTATTTGTGACGTTGGGTATAACATCATAAGAATATGAAACCAGTATTGGTGTAAATCTAATGCAAATAACCCTATGTATATTTGTAGCAGTCGTGAATCTCTACCTAAGGTAATTTGCTGTAATATAACAAATATCCATTCTGGTTTTTATCCTTTTCTTACCAGTTTTTTATCAAGCATGAATGTGAATGGTTTGACAGCAAAATTACCTGTGAAAGTTTAAAGGCACTTTTCTGCTGCAATTCTTGGATTGAGAGTGGAGTGTTATGTATAATACGATGGGATATATCATTTTAGAGCCCCATATTTTATTCTAGTCCAATTACTTTTGTTTATCTACCTCGTTTTCAGTGCTGTTTTGGGGTGCACAAGTAAACACTGCCTGTGAGACTTGTTTTTTTGCCTTGATTCTCAGTATTTTTTCAGGTTATAAATTCTATCCTGCCTCCTTGTCCCAGTGCTAACTCTGAGTTTGAGATGAGAGTGATCATTACTCTGTCACCAATCTGTATTTAAGTGAAGAGAACCATGTGCCTCTGTGAAATAAACCTTGAGTATTTGGGGATGGAGAGCAGAGAAATAAATCCAGCAGGTGGCAATATAGGACTTAATTTTAGGAGTTATTTGTAAAACAAATGATAGGAAAGTACCTGAATTAGACAGTCTAGTGCCTGTTACTTTGCATCTTTTATTAGAGGTGCATTTCTCATCTACGTGCCTAAAGGGCTATGGGTTGAAATTGCTTTAACTACCACAGTTAAATATTTCACTATTCCTACAGCAATGGCCTGTCATCCAGCTTATTAACATACTGCTAAGTTTTTGCAGTAATATTTTGTTACCTTAAAATGGCCGTATACTTTTATTTGAATTGTAGTTGGTAACTGTTTATCCAGTCTCTAAAATTTAGGAGGCATTGGCTTTTTCTCTGCTGTCTTTTCAAAATGGTAATGATGATGTATTACTTTTTTCCCTGAAAATTCAGCAAATGTTTCTAAACCACATGTTCCTTGTTTCACATGTTTACACTTTTATACTGTAGCATATTTCATCTTGGTAAATACTGTATTTCAGGCATCATATATAAGTACATTCCTGAGGTTTATTTGGCATCAATTTGGTATTCGGTTATTTAATCTTTTGTTTGGTTCAGAAAAACGTAAGATATTTGTGGTGGTGTGCAGGTCATTTTCTAGAATTGATGGTTCATTTTTCATTCTGTAGTTTATTGGGGATTTCTTTTTCCCTTCTTTGTTTAGATGATGAATCAGAAAGCGGGGAATGGGAATAGAAAAGGCCATTGATTTGGTAAATGTAATTTCTGGGATTGAAATTTTAAAAAAGAAATGCAGATTGTAAAATGGTACCACTCAAACCTGGTAAAATCCCTTCAAGTGAAATTAGTATAAAATGTTTATGGAGCCAGGTGCTTTCAGGTCACTTTGAAAATAGTTTTTTATGTGAAGGATGAACATAAACATTGGTCGGGGTCTTTGACAGCCAACATGCATAGGGACCTAGAATAGTAACTAGGTTACACTGAAGTTATTTTTAACGGAGATAGCTGGAAAACTGTATAAACCAGCAGCTCCCGTTCTAGAAGGTTGTCTTTTGATTGAAAAAAAAAATAGCCCAAAGAAAAAGACTAAAAGTCAAGCAAGAAGGAAAGAGAGAAACTGGGTTCTGAGAAAAATGTGCTAGTGTAAAATGAACTCCTAAATGTGTGCTTGTCATCCTTTCAATTTTATTTTCTTTCTTTTCCTCTATAACTTAAGACTTTAGATAGATGTTTGTGGTCCAGAACACATCCTCAGCAGAAGTAGTGACTGATTGGAAAGTACAGTTGTTCAAGGTCTGTCATGCTCAATCACTTAAAGCTGTAATTTGTTTGATCTGAATATTAAGCATGTAGACCTAGTGCAGCATCGGAGCCACTCAGGAAGTTTATGCAATTAATAAACTTTCACACATAATTTACTACAAGTATGCAGAATTTCAGCGACTTCTTTGCTCTTAACATTTAGTTGTATATGTGAATTATCCTTTCTTAATTGGGGAATGTAGCATTATATAGAGTATTGATTTTAATTCTTAACATTAATTGTTTTTCTTTTGTAAACCAAGTGATCTGCCTTTGGTTCTTGGAAAATGTGACTTTTATTTCATTTGTACCCAACCATTGTAAGGATTTTGTTTGTTTCCAGGGAATTTTGTTTTGAAACAGAAAATAAAGACTGTGTTAAAATAAATATGTTATCTTATTAAAATTCTGTCATAGCCATTGCAATTATCTGATTCTTTATTTACCAAATGTAATTTAGCTGATTTCAAAAATTTAGTCCTGTGGATTATGCTGGCTGACCAAGCTATATGTTACCTCTTGATTTGTAGCTCCAACAGAATTTGAGTTGGACTTCTTTTCTACACTTGTAAATGAGCCATAATTTTAGTAGTCACTATGATTTACTGAGTACCTAATATGTTAGGCTTTTATTTGTGATATTTTTAAAATCAGCAATATTATCCCCACTTCATAAAGTTAATTTGAGGATCACAGAAATTAAAAGATTTACCAAAGTCACATAGCTAACCTTTAGTTAAGTGGTGAAGCCTGAATCCAAACCCAGGTCACAGGGAAAACCCTGGACCATACAGACTCCCAGATGTACTGCATGAATAACAATCCAAATACATTTGGAATAGATTTTCATCTAATTATTAGAGCTAGTTTGTACTCTTTTTTAAGTTCTTTTATGAAGTTATAGCCAGTACTTGTTTTGTAATTCCAGAAGTGAAGTATGTGTTTATGGTACAAGCAAGAATTTACAATGTGCCCTTTGCAGACACTTAAGGAGTGATTATGGAATGCCTTTAGAAAACAGGGCATTTGGAAATCTCTTCCATATCTTTTACCACACTATGATGACTTGGGAAACTGTCTCATGAGGTCATATATTTGTCCATCTGATAATATAGGTAGAAGAATCATGCATATGTTTATATAAACCAGCCCTGGAGGGAGAGTATGGGTTCTATAAGAAATATTGAAAATTAGATGAGGATTTTTAAAGTTTTGCCTTATTGATCCAATGATGTTGAGGCTTTCTATCTTAGATGATCCCTAAAGGGAAGACACAAAGTACATCTGGAACAACTGTGATTTTTGAGTCACAGACCTATGGAAAAAGACCTATGGGGAAAAAACCTCCATTTTTCCATTGGTCAAATGAGGTGGTTGTATTAAATGAGATATGTAAATACAGCTACCCTTGTCCCTAATTTGCTACTTGTTGCTATAATATAGATAGATATTTCTGATGACTTTCACACTAAACTTGCACTTGGAAATCAGGCTGGTTTGGAAATGGGCTCTGATTCTATTACAATTAATACAGATACTGTTGGAATCTAGCAGACCTGGTTTTGTATTTTAGCTTTGTGAACTCAGGAAAATTGCTTAATTTTTCAGCATCAAATTTTTTTAAAAGATTTATTTATGCATACAAGAACTGCGGTACAGGCCAAGAGGTGCAGGGGGGTGAGAGGATTCACCAGAGACAGATTGGAGAACAGAACAAGCAGACTGACTGAAATACACTGCTGAGGGGAGCAGTGGGCAAGACAGGAGAGGTCTGCCTCGCCATGTGGGTAGCTCTCTGGCCTGCTGGGGATTGAACTTGTGCTGCAGAGGCTGTGGATAGTTTCACAGTGCTGTGCTTAACCCCTTGTGCCACCAGCGAGGCCCACAGTGGAGTTGTTTTAAGACTAAATGAAGGGCCTCCCTGGTGGCCTAAGGGTTAAGCCTCAGTGTTGTCACTGCAATGGCCTGAGTTAGATCCCTGGCCAGGGAGCTAACCCACATGGTGTAGCAGGCCTCTCTTGTCTCACCTGCTACTCCCCTCAGCAGTGTATCTCAGTAGATCTGCCTGTTCTGCTCCCCATTATGTCTCATATCTGGTGAATCCTTTCAGCTCCCGTACCTCTGGCCTACAGCCCAGTTATTCCATGCAAAAAAAAAAAAAAAAAAAAACAAAGTAAATGAAAAAGCACATTAAAGGCTTAACACTGTCCATAGCATATAGTAGGTTTGCTCAAACAATAATAATGAATATTGAAAGGACCCTACATATCACTTTTTTTTTATAAAAAAAAAAAGATTTATTTATACAAGCACTGGGTACAGTCAGAAGCGCAGGAGGGTCAGCAGGAGGGTCAGAGAATTCACCAGAGCCAGAGCAGAGCAGGCAGAGTGATGAAATATACTGCTGAGGGGAGCAGCGGGCGGCAGAGGAGGTCTGCGCGCCATGTGAGACCCTCACCGGAGTCCGGGGATCGAACCGGCGCTGCAGAGGCTGTGGGCAGCCCTACAGCCCAGCGCTCAACCGCTGAGCCACCAGGGGAGGCCCCCTACATATCACTCTTTTAAGAGGAAACAATCAGAAATGACAAAACAACTCAAACTATGGTGCTAGGTCATGTAATAAAGTGAGGTTCAGAGGTGTTTGATTTGGGGGTAAGAATATATAACCTATTTAAATCTGCTATAATTAATAAGCACTACCAAGTAAAGAATGTGAAGACAGAATTGTCTGTACTAAAGCGTTTAGAAGGAGCTGACATAGTAGTAGTTGGGGAAAAAGTAGGTCTTCAAACAGGAGCCCAAAACAAATGAAGTATAGTATAGATGACAGTCCATACAGGAGCTGGACCTTTGAAATAGATAGATGGAGAATTGGAAATGACTAGCTCACATGCATGTTACAAATTAGGAAATAGGCTCAGAAATTTAACCGGTATTTGTAAAGTTTCTCCATTCCAGCTCAGAGGTTCTCAGAGATTTAACATGATTGTGTGTTAAAATTATCTGGGGAACTCTTTTAAAAAATTAGTATCTCTGTCCTGGTCCCTTATTTAGGTTTTCTAGATTCCTGCTATGAGTGAGACCATCCAGTATTTTTCTTTTTCTTTCTGGCTTATTTCGCTGAGCATGATCCCTTCCAGCTCCATCCATGTTGCTGTAAATTGCATGAGTTTATCTTTTTTGATTGCTGAGTAATATTCTACTGTGTATATGTACCACACAAGAATAACTCTAAGAAAGAAAAAATCAAAATCAACAAACAACTATAAACCAGAGACAAACAATGGGGGGGGGCGGGGAAAGGAGGGATTGTGGCCAAAATAAGGGGGTGCAATTGTATTGTATGGGGAATATAAAAATAAATAAATAAAATGGAGTTAAAAAAAGAGTAAAATGAGACAACTTTTGAAAAAATTAAATTAAAAAAAAATTAGTGTCTCTTGGGCCTTCCCGGAGGCGCAGCAGTTGAGCACTGGGCTGCAAGGCTGCCCGCAGCCTCTGCAGCGCCGGTTCGATCCCTGGCCACCTGCAAGGGTCCCACATGGCGTATGGACCTCTCCTGCTGTGCCGGCTGCTCCCCTTAGCAGTGTGCTTCAGTCCTTCTGCCTGTTCTGCTCCCCGCTCTGGCTCTGGGGAATTCTCTCACCCTCCCGTGCTTGTGACTGTGCCCAGTGCTTGCATAAATAAACAAATAAATAAATCTTTAAAAAATAGATAAATAAAAATAAAAAATTAGTGTCTCTATTGTACAACAGTGTTAATATAAAAGGCACTAGTGAGTCAAGTAAGTGTATACACTTAAAAGTGGTTAAGATGGTAAATTTTATGTTGTATGTATTTTACCACAATTTAAAATAAATAAGAAATTAGTGTCTGGGTCCCATCTCTAGAATCAGTATTGTTTTAAAAGTTCCCCAGGTGATAATTAGCATCATATATATTTTCTTCAGCTAAGAGAGAAGAAGGGATGATCTACTGTACATTTGTTACTTCCAGCCACAACTGAGAAAAGAACTAGTTCAGAATGTCACAGGTCCAGGGCAAAGAACCAAAAGGGACTATTTTGGTATGAGCAAGGGTCTCTTTTGAGGTGGTTGCAGCAATCAGGTGGCAAGTAATGTGTTCCAGAGACAAGTTCCAGACAGTAGCATGCAGTCCAACAATTTGTATGAGCATCCCTGTCCTCATCTTTCCTTAGTTCTGTCCTTGTGACTTCCACCAATGTACAAGCTATAGGTTTATTTGAACCTCTGCCTCTTTTGAGCTTCAGCATATGTATTTTTTCTTCTCCCATTTAGCTTTTATGCTACAGAAGCTTCAAAGAAGTTGGCTCTAAGGGAGATAATATATTATATATATTAATGTCTACATGTTATGTGTATGGGGTGTGTGTGTGTTTGTGTGTACAACAGGGGTAAGAACCACATTGATTTCCTAACTAATCAAATAATTTCTCTGCTCTTAGAAGTTGCTTGTTCAAGAAACACATGCAATATACAGCCTCATTAGACCTAATGAATTGTTTCCTATTACCATATGAGGTTACAGCCTCTCCAACAGGCCTCAAGGATTTGGGCAATAGAGAAATCTAAGTGTAAGCCTCTTGTAGAAACTGAACAGCCATTTACTACTTAGGTAGAAGATGTCAGAAGACTGAGTTCAATGGGAACTTTCCAATTCATTCATAAGAATTAATGTCAGGTGCTTGCTATGCCAGTTATTACACTAAGGAGTTTTCTATGTTATTCAGTCTTTACAGGCTTCTGAGGTAAGTATCTTTACCATCTCCCTTGTAATCTCCTTGATTATCTTGAAAACTGTTTTCTCCCTGTTTCTGACTTTGTTCTGGGTGTGTAGTTAGGTACCAGATAAATCTGTTGAATAAATTATTATCTTATTTCATAGATACAATAAGGACTTGCGAGGTTAAATAACTTGTTAAAGTTATATAGGTAATGAGGAGTTGAACTGATATTGGAACCCAGATCTTGGTTACAAAGCACACTTTTAACCACTATTTTGTGACATCTATCCTCTTCTGTTTTTAGGATTTTGGCCTCTATTATTTCTATCCTCTTTATGGCTTTTGTCCAGCATAAAGTTTTTCCTGTACTACATGATAAAACTCTTGTGTGTATGTAATAGAAACCCAACTTGAACAAGCTTAAAAGATTCATTAAAATGATGATGGTGACTCATAAAACCCAGGTATAAAGCAGATGGGCCTTAGGAACAAATAAATCAGTTGCTTCAATGCAGCCAGGATTTTTCATGGCTTCCAGTTCAATGCCAAATTCTCTGGGAAGGTACATACATTTAGGATGGCTTCTGCTACAACAATAAGGATAAGATAGAAAAGGTGGTAGAAAAGG